AAAAAGGACCTGGAAAATTCAAACCCCACATAATGCTTGAGAACTGTGTGTGAATCAGAGGAAATCGGCATTTAATTTTGCCCATATAGCTTGTTCTATAAAAACTCAGATTAATAATTTTAGCAACTGTTTTGTATATGTAAACTCTAACTAGCACTGTGCAAATGAATCTGGCTGAATTAAACTCTTGTAGATATGATTACAGATAGAAGGAGCAAATTATTATTAATTCTTTAGAATCACCCAAAAAACCTAAATACAATGAGCAGACACTGAGCCAACTTCATGTGATTTATATAATGTTAAATGAGGAGCCATATCTCAAAATCCATAGGGTTCGTCATGTACTGTAGGAGGTAGATGACCTCAGCAAAACAGAGAAATTAGAAGCACTAAGCTTATTTGTTAGTAGATTATGTGGTCATCAGAGCATACAAAATTACCCATTCTGGTCAATTTGATTGGCTGAAAGTGTTAGTGAAACACAAAGCTTGCATAACTGTTAATAGAGGAGCCTGGTTACTACATTTAGCTACAGTAGACACCAGGCTGACCACAACAGCGAGCATTCACCAGGGAAGAATTCATGGGAATGCCTAAAGGAAGAAAAGATGCGTTGTGAAGTGCAGCCATACATGAAAAGATGATGAATATGTCAGCAAAGCGAGGCAGCGAGTGTTGAAGAGCTGCTAATCATCTCTCAGTGGGGGTGGGACAGAATGAGGGTGCAGCCTGGGGAGGGGCGGGTGGGTGTTTGGTTTGGGCAAATCTATTTTTATCTGGATTCCACGAAGACAGCTGCCAACCTCTTGAGCACTTTGAAATCACAGCGACAATGAGAAAGAGAAGACGCACAATTACATATTCCTACTTTTTTTTTCAAATGTAAGGTAAAATATAACAAATATGGCAAGAAGGACTATGCTTTCATTGAGGCCAGTTGTGGAGTGGGTGCTGGAAATCTCATAAGCTCATCCGCTTTAGCCGAAAGCATTAGAGTTTGGTCTGTTTAACTGCCCGTGTGCCACTGTAATCTGTCAATGTGTCCTGCTGTAATTCCTTAACTAGAAATAAACAACTGCTACTGAAAATACATCACTGTTAGGGGAGAGTGATGCCGCCACTGTCTTTAAACCAACCGACTTGCTTCATTTAACACCTGCTTAATATCTGCTGGACTTTACTACTTTAGCATGTCTCTGTTAGAGGTCACACACTGCGATCCGGACATTCCCAGGCCTCTATCGTAGCAGCTAAGGAGCTGAGCTACATGTTTGGCCGGGGACAGAAGATAAAGGCCGATGAAGTGACACTGACACTATCCACAGTCATAAACTGGTGATACAGGAGACCAAATGCATCAATGTCACGCCACCAGAGATGGGAAGTAACGAAGTACAAATACTTCGTTACTGTACTCAAGTAGATTT